GCGGGCGCGGGCGCGGGGTCTGGGCAGCGCAGGCTGCGCGCCGCGCTGCGCACATGCGCGCTCCCGCCCCTCCCACCTTTGACAGTTTGATGCGGGGGAGGGGGCGAACTCTCGCGGTATTCCTGCAGCAGCCGCGCGACGGGGAGGGGGCTGGGGGCTGTCGGGCCGTCTGTGCCGCCTGGCTGCAGGACCCACTGCCCCCGTCCGTCGCGTCTGTACAGCCAGGGGGCCGTCTTGCTGTCCTCAGGGCGAGACTCGTTTTGTGGACAGTGGGGTAAACTGAGGCAAAGGTACCGGACACGGTCTCGACTCCTGCACGCAGGAGTAGGGTGACCCGAGGCAACCTTGCGCTGGTCGGGCAGGTACAGAGGGAGGCCTGTGTGCTCAGGGACCCTAAGTTGCCCTCCTCCCGCCGCCCCTGGGACTAGCAAGACAGGTTCGGACCCAGCTCCAGTTGGTTGGGCCTGTTACCACTTTGTGGTTCCGGCCACTGTCCGGAACCCTGGAGTCTAATGGGGAGGGACCACAGATCACCGGATCAACCTCCATGTGGGCTGTAGACCTGCAACCAGGCCCTTTGGTTCCTTGCGCCAGGATCTGCTGCTGTCAGATCTGCCGGCGGCATGCAGCCCCAGCCTACAGGGCTTAGGAATGAAGGAAACACAAGAGAGGTGTGCATCTCTGTGGGGGGACTGGGCAGCGCCTGCCAAGAACTGGCTGCAGAGGAAGAAGAGGGCCTGGGGCACCCACAGGGTGTGGGCAAGGGCACCAGTCTTTTCTGAGGAGATCTGTGCTCACTTGCCCAGGTCACCCTCCCTTGAGAGTGAAGAGATCTTGAGTTTTACTTTGTGCCTACAATGCTGTCTTTTTTTTTTTTGTAGATTTTTTAAAAATCATGTATGGGGCCGGGTGGATGGCTCAATAGTATAAGTGCTTCTCTGGCAAGCGCGAGGGCCAGAGTTCAATCCCTGGTTCTGCCAAAAATTAATTAATTAATTAAAATCATGTGCATGTGTTACTTTTACAACATCTGACTTTTAAACATTTTAAAAATATTTCTTTTATATTCCACAAGCACTTTGCCCCTCAGAATTGGTATGGGGTAGAAACTTCTAGGTGGGAAATGGAATTACAAGATATAATTCCTTCCTGGGGCCCTGTCCTGCCCTGCACTCCATGGGCAGGCTCACCTGCACCATTTGAAGGCAAGTTAGAAAAGGTGTTGGCAGATTTGGCATCCACCTGTCCTCAGTGTGATTTTGGGTGCTACTCTGCCCCTGGCCTTCTTAGAGTGCTTACCTGAGACAGAGGTGAGGTGCCGGCCCTCTGTAGAGGGGTCCATTGGTGAGCCCTTTGGAAATCTGAGTCAGAGAGAAGCCAGTGTGGACTCACCCCACCCAAATGACCGCAGGAAGAAGGGAAGTTGATCATAGGGAGACATCCTTCCCTCTCTTTTTGACCATCATTACTCTGGGGGCAGGCCTAGCAGGATGTCAAAAGGGGTCAGTGTCTGTTCCCCCTGAAGTAGGGAAGTTCTGTACACAGGTATGTGTCTAAGTGATCCTGTGTCCAGTAGCATCATCTACATTGGGACAACTCAGTGTCATGGCATATCTGAATTCTGTAGTGGGTGAGATCAGTGCTTGCTTTTATGTTAGTACCCAGGTGACTGGACAGCAGAGTATTTGGGGTGGGGTCATCTAGATCATAACCTGGGTCTAGGCTGTGGCATGTCTGTATGTAAATATGCTTGTGTCAGGATATAAGGACCAATTGTTTTCTGTTTATCTATATGTCACAGTGTTATATGAGTTTGTGTGTACTGTGGGTGTGCTGTGTCCGAGTTTCCGTATGTTAGAGGGTATTACTGTTGTACATCAGTATTTCTGTGTTTGGACACTCTGCATGTGGGAGTGTTATTTACCTTTGTGGGTATTTGCTTTATATTTCTGACCAAATTCACAAGTGTGATTGGATGTTAGTGTCATGGTGTTTCTGTGTTACTGTTTGATGTTCCTGTGTTCCTATTTGTGTCCTGGCTGCGTGTTGTGGCAGAATGTGTGATGTGCTCTGTGTACCATTTATGGCAGAGTACTACACGTGTGGGAGGCCAAATGGTGAGTTTTTTGGCGGAACCGGGGATTGAACTCAGACCCTTGCACTTGCCAGGCAAGCACTTATTCTACTGAGCCATCTCGCCAGCTCAAATGGTGAGTTCTAAGAGATGACCAAGTCAGAGCTCTGAACCTGTAAAGGGAGGGACTTTGTAAAAAAGCTCTTTGCAGGGCCAGGGAGATGGCTCAGTAGAATAAGTGCTTCCTTGGCAAGCACGGGGTCCTGAGTTCAATCCCCAGTGGGGTGTGTGTGTGTGTGAAGTCCCTATCAACTTGGATTACCCAGGTGGGCCCTAGATCCAAGCATCTTTATAAGAAGGAGACAGGGAGATTTAACAGAGGAGTGATATAACACAGACAGAGAGCAGTGGTGTGTTCTTGAGCCAAACAGACCTGGAGGAGGCAAGGAAAGATTCTTCCTCTCATCCCTACAGGATGCTGGTCCTGCTGAATTGCAGGCTTTTGGCCTCCAGAATGGAATCACTACCTCCCTTCCTTTGACTCTACCTTTTTATTTATGCTGGGAATTAAACCCAGGGTCTTACCACAAGCCAAGCATGCACTCTACTACTGAGCTATATCCTCAGCCCCATTGTTTGAAGCCATGTTTGTGGCCTTTTGTTAGAGCAGCCCCAAGAAACTCCTATACCACATATCTGGGCAGTTGCTTCCAGTGTGTCACGCATGTTCTGTCCATCACTAGGGTGCCATTTATGTGGCCTTTTTGAGGCCCCTCATAGTGTCTTAGGGGAACAGCCGCCCCTCCAGGACAGGACACCACTGCCCCCTAGCGGTCCCCGGCGGTTTGCTGGGCTGGACACCGCCTCCCACCCAGACCCAGAACTGTGGGCATTTGAGAACCAGGTTTATTTCTGATTTTTTTTTTTTTTTTTTGGTCAGAGTATAAAAAATGAACAAAAACATGGAAGACTAGACAGGAAAATGGGATGGGCAAGACAGAGTAGGGCAAAAGGGTTCACAATGGGCCCTCTGGCTGAAGATTGATGGCACAGAAGGGATATACTTCAGGCAGTCAGACCCAAGGTTTCCCATGGATGAGGGCACAAAAGATGGGAGCTGGCAGGCCAGTGGTCCACATCTCACTTGGGATTTACAATGACTAGCTTGCAGCATCAAGGCCAACTCAGGACACAGAAATGGCACTAGAGGCTCAGCCGTACTTGTCCCTGAGGCTTTCAGAGTTCCCAGGACAGTGGGAGAGGCAGAAGAACAAGATGGTGGGGACTTCCAAAGCCACCCTCACTGTCCCTCTTCTGGGCAGTACCAGTTCCAAATTTCCCAGGGAGGGATGCCAGGCATCTGGTGGCAGATACGGTGGGTATGGCCCCCTGTAAGTCACTCCTGTGAATCCAAGTTTTGGGAAAGGGGTGAGGGGAATACCCACATGCACAACTGCTACTTCAAAGTTAAGTCGAAGAGCCAGGGAATACAGAAGATGCTTAAAAAGCAAGACTCTTTTGTAGGCAAGGCCAGGGGTACCACCAAACCTGGTGAGCACTGGGCATGGAGTTACCTCCAGAGGGCAAGAGTCTTTGTTGTACCAATTTGGCCTTTGGAAACTGGACGTCTTGGGCCTTTTGGCCTCATTTTTCAGAAGGAGATGTGGGTGTAGCAAGGGTTTCATAAATAATGAATGAAGTTTCAGTATGTTATACCCAGTGGAACAGGTGCTGCCGTTATGTCTGACTATTACTCTGGACAACTGGTTGGGCTGGCCAGGCTCTGGCAAGGGTGGGGGAAAATCACAAGCCAAAGGGAACTGATGCAGTTTGTCTCATTGTGCAGCTGGTCTGGCGATGCTTGAGAGGAACACAACTGGAGAGGTGCCAGGTGAGGGGGTGGTCACATGGCGAAGGGAACATAAATAAAGAGACTCTTTTGGAGTCTGGAGTTATTCAAACCCCACTCTGGCTCCAGGCAGCTGACCTGTGGCATGCTGCCAGCAGCACCAGGGGATAGGCCTGGAATCAAGTCCTTGGAGGGGGCCACATGCAAGTAGCCCATGCCCACCTAGTCCCACGGTACAACCTGGAGTGCCTGACTAGAGGCACCTGGAGGTGGTAGTCCTGGTCCTGCCTGTCCACTGGGTCAGGCTTGGCCAGCAGGGCATCATGCATGGTCCAAGAAGGGCTGTAGGGCCAGCTCTGCCTCATTCTTGGCTGTGGGTCCTGGTCACTGGTCACAGTGCTGGGGTCTGGGGTTCAGGCCTTGGCAGCAGCTAGGACATGTTTCCAAAGGAAGCTGTGGGGTAAATGGAAGTGAGGGAGGGGCAGGTCCCTCCCTGCCTCGTCCCAGGATGATCTTTACTGTGCCCCAGCTACCCCCCTGTGCTCAGGCAACTCAACCTGCACTCTCAGCCCAGCCCCCAGGTCTTTGGCACATTTGGCCTTGCCCACTGACCTTGGCTGAGCAGCTGCAGGCTCCGCCCCTCCTCACGCACCTGCAGGCGGAGCACCTGCTGCAGCACCTCTTGCCTCTGTGCCTCCTGTGCCAGCCCCATCCGCTGTAGCTTCTCTGCATTCAGCCTCAGCAGAGCCCGGCCTGGGGAGAAGGAAAGGGCCCAGTAGGGATCAAAAAAATGTGTAAAGGGCCAAGACAGAGACCAAGAGACAAAGGGGGTCCCAGGCAGTCTCATGTATGTAGAGACTTGGAGAGGAAGGCAGATGGAAAGACAAGGTTAAGCAAAAGACAGAGGACAAAGAGAAGCCCCAGGTAATAGAGCAGAGAGCCTGGGAGAGACACAGAAAGACACAGAGTCAACAAAAGCCCCAGTGGGCAGTTTGACTACAGGAGTACAGGCAGAGGAGGAAAAAGACTAGCTGAACGGGTGCAGGCTCTCCTGGGCTTCCCAGCCCCTGCCCTATACCAGCCCCACCGTACCAGTAATGGCATGTTGGGAGAAGGCCTCCACGTAGATGAGGTAGTTGTGGGGACAATGTTTCTTGAGCCACTTGCAGACGTCCTGCTGACTCCACAGGACTACAGGCCGCGTCAGCCCACCCAGAGAGGGGCTTGTATGGTATAGGCCATAGTGGTCAGAGTAGAGCCGGCCCTGCAGAGGGGAAGGGTGGCAGGTAGCAGGAGGGCAGCAAAGCAGTAGGGTGGGGGCCGAAGTAAGCAGGATGGGGGGTACCTGTGGGCTCTCTGTACCAGGCTGTTGCAGGAGCTTGATGGGCCTGCTGCTAGATGCCCTCTGGCTACGGGAGTCATGCCACGTGAAGCTGGTGCCTGCTGTCCGAGGCAAGTGGCAAGGGATGCTCTCAGCTGATACTGTGTGCTCCAGAAGAGTCCGGCAGAAGCTGAAGTGGGCAGTGGCTGTGTGCCAGGGACCCAGTCAGGGCTGGCACACAAACCTCATATACATCCTACCACAAGATGTGTCTTTCATTGAAAAGGCCAGCTCCTCTGTCCTGGGACACTCTCTGTGGGTGGGAGGTCTGACCTTGCTGCCTGCTCATCACCACTGAGTGTGCCCAGTCTCTACCGCCACACCTCTGCCTCACCAACTACGTTCACCAACTGCATTTACCAATCATGACTCACTGACAACAAGCCTGAATTCTGGGCAAGCAGACAACTGGGACTCCCCAAACACATGCTGGGCTTTCCTGCTGTACTGCCCCTACAGGGCCTAACTGGGACAGCGCCATGTGATCTGTAAGTGCCCATCGGCTGTGGACTGTTCAAGACAAGTGTGTGGAGTGCCTCTACATTCTGGGGAACTTCTTCCCACACCAACCTCATTATATTCCTCATGTTTTAGGCTTTGTTTGCTTGTTTTGTTGGCAACAGGATCTCTCTATGTAGCCCAGGCTGGCCACAAACTCACTCAATCCTCTTGCCTCAGCCTTGAGAATGCTAGTGTCACAGGTGTGTGCCCTGTAATGGAACTTGCCTGGCCTACTTCATGCTTTAGTTTTATAGTTATTTCTTGGATCAAGATGACTTGAAGGGGCTGGTGAGATGGCTCAGTGGTCTAAAGCACCTACTTAGAACAAGCTTAGCAAAGCCCAGGGAGCGTGGTTCAATCCCCCGGCACCACATGCCAACTGGCCCTGTCCCCTGGTGGGCTGAGCTGGACACACACACACACACACACACACACACACACACACAAATAAAATTAAAAAAAAAAGATGACTTGAGGGACCAGGGACATAGCTCATCAGTATAAGGGTCTGCCTGGCAAGTGCAAGGTCCTGAGTTTGATCCCCAGTAAAAAAAAAAAAAAAAAAAAAAAAAAAAAAAAAAAAAAAAAAAAAAGATGACTTGAATCTGGGAAGTGTTATTAGCTGAGTGAGACCCTTCCTATCCAGGTTGGGATTGCTTGCTAAGGCTTATCCAGGTTTCAGTGCGCAGGAAGTATCCCATAAGTGCAGTGAATGAGTTAATACACAAATGAAATCTCTATGTGGTGTCTGCAAGTCAACAGAGCCTGTAGGGAGAAAGGAAGGCTCTGAAGGTCACCACATATACACTGTCACTCCTCCCCTAGAGCGTTCAGGCAGGATGAGTTTGAAGGCAGAATGCAGTTCCCATGTCAGAACGCTTGCCCACTCCCAGGTCCATTCTGTCCACCTGCTTAATGGAACTTCTTTTCTAGTCAACCATTCCCTCTATACTGGGGCCAGCTCTCTAAGGGGTCCAAGAAGTTTGAGTAATGGGGAAAACCCACATTCTCCTCTCCTGTGCTTCCACACATAAGGCTCTTGATGCTCAGCAACCTCTTTTCCCATTCTTTCGACTTTCTTTTTTTTTTTTTTTTAGGTTAGTACTGAGAATAAAACTCAGCACCTCGCACTTGCCAGGTTGGCGCTGTATCCTGAGCTCTTTTGACTTTCGAACCAAAATCCAAGTGACTGAATTTGAGATATATAGTCAGGTAAAGAATGTGGCCAAGGTGGCCACCGCCTCAGGTGGCCTCTAGTGCAAGAGAAAAGATTTACTCTAATCCTGCACCTTCTAGGGGACGGGGACGGTAGACCCAGGGTTTCTCCAGCTTCGGTCAGCTAGATAGGAGTGTCGCTCAGGGGAAACCAGTCGAGCGCCTCCTCGCTCGGCACCTGCCGAGTCAGCCCGGACCGCCCATTTCCTGCCTGCACTCTGGGAGGGTCCAAGAAGAAAATGGGGTGGGGGCGCCAGGTGCTGGCTGTGACCTTGGTCCTCAGTCCCCTCTTCACCCCACTACTAGTGCTGCGTGGAGTGACTCCAGTGTGCTGCCAGTCTAAAGACAGAATCCCTGGCTGGTCACTTTTCATCCCAAGCCAAAAGCTGGTTCCCAAGGCCTGACGCTGGTCACCTCCCAGCGCAGGACAAAGGCCATCGGACCCCGTGGGGCCAGGACACCCCCAGCCGCATCCACCGCCAGAGCCCTCGAGTCTTGCCTCCTCTGGGGCTTTTTGGTTCTGAACCCCACCCCCACCCGCGATTCCTTGCGTCCCAGCCCAGCCCGGCTCACCGTCCACATCCCGGCTCTCTCCAAAGCCGGCGCTCACAGCCCCGGCGCGGCCCGGCGGGGGGCTCAGCTTGGCCCTCAGCTCGGTGAACATGGGGCCCGCGGTGCCGGGTCCGCGCACACGCCCCTCGCTGAGCGGAGGGCGGCCCGTGTGGCCGGCAGGGGATGCGCGCGGTCGCCCCGCCCCGCTGGAGCCGGCCCCGGCGGCCAGACGAGTCTGCGCGGCAAGGCACCTGCCACTGAGCCCTGCGCGCCGAGCGCGCTCCGGGATTTCCAGGAGCGGCGGCGGCGCGCAGGGCTGCGCGTGCGGAGAGGTCCGAGGTGGCGGTACAGCCCTGGGCACAGCTCCGCCGCAGGGCTCCGTGCACCTGCAGGAAGCCGGCCGAGGCGGGAGAGCTGTCGGTCTTCTCCGTGTTGAGTGGGCTGCAGCACCTACTTGCCCTTGGAGCCTTCTACCCACCCAGATTATCCTTTCCCAAACACTGCCCTGATGGGCTTGTGCTTGCCCGGAGAAGCCAGCTTGACCCTAGCTCAAGACACCCTGAGCTCAGGGGCGGCGTCCTTCGCCTCACTTAGCCCCTGAATCTGGCTCAGTGCCGAGGGCGGGGCCCGGTGCTAAGAACCGAAAGGGGCTTGGCTGAGGATCAGGAGAAAACGCCAAGGCTGTAGCAAGTGAGAAGAGCTGGACGCCGAAGCGTGGGTGCCTCCTCCAGCCAAGCCCACCAGCTGTGGCGCCTGCTCCGCTCCCAGCCTCTCTCCCCGGGCGTGCAGCCGGCTGGTAGTCTCTAGCAGCAGGAGCACTGCTGTACGCGGACTTGCAGAGACGCGCTGAGTGCGGCGGTACGCGCCCGCTCAGGTCGCAGTCACACGCCCCAGTGTGTATACAGCAGTGACACGTTTGGAACGCCGGCCCACCTACGTCAGTGCTGCACTGACTTGTTTACAGCCAGGGGAAGGGCGGCGTCGGTACGGCGTTCCGGCGCAGACTGGCGGGCCAACCCCGAGTGCGGGCTCGCACGGCCTGACAGATCGACAGTGGGGAGCCGGTCGCGGGCAGGCACCGGAGCGCAGGACGCACAGGGCTGCCCGGAAGGCGGACTAGGCCCGTGTGCACAGATTTCTGGGTGCATGGGAGCGCTCCCGGGCAGTCACAGCAGGGTCCAGGCGGGGACCGAAGGTTTGGCAGGGCGTCGTGGCACGTGACCGCCCAGGCCAGCTGGCACCACCCGCCTTGCCGCAGGTCGGCGCTACAGCGCTATGCGACCTTAGCCCTTCCAGCAGCCGCAGCCCGCGCGGTGGGCGGGGCCTCAAGCGGAACTTCCGGCGCGACGTCGAGGGGGCGGTGCCCTGCGCGGTCCCAGCTTTGCTTCCGGGGCGCCGGTGACGTGACGGCCGCGACGCCTCCTGTGGTGCGTCGGGGAAGACGCCGGGGCTCCGTGCTGCGCGCCTGCCTCGGCCGCTGTCGTCTCGGTCGCCGACGCCGCCATGAACAAGAAGAAGAAGCCGTTCTTGGGCATGCCCGCGCCGCTTGGCTACGTGCCAGGGCTGGGCCGCGGGTGAGGCTTGGGCAGCGGGCAGGCCTGGGAGGCGGCGGGAGATCGGGAAGGCGGGCAGGCCGAGCGAGCGAGGGGCGGTTCTCTGGGCTCTGCATCTTCTCGCCCGCGGCCCTGTCCCCCGCGCTGGAGCTAGGAAGTGCCAGGGGAAGGACCAGGAAGATAAGCGCCGTAATAAGAAGCTACGGTCACGTAGTCTGAAAGACACCGGAAGGTTGGTTTCATCCTGTAGGACGCCGATGTTGAGGTCGGAATAAGTCTGCCTATGAATGCTGTCTGTCACCTCGGAAATGCAATATGGGCCCGGTGCAGCTGGGTAAAGCCCGTATGCGGGTCTTCTGTGAGCATCGAAAGAACTTTTGTGTAGTAGGAACACATGACCCTTCCTGTGTTTTAAGCATGACTAATCTTTTTTGTGGTGGTATTCATTCATTCATTCATTCATTCATTTTTTTGACAGAGAGTGTTGTTATTTTAGCTCAGACTGGTCTTGAATTCTGTATAACCCAGTGTGGCCTCGAACTCAGCAGTTCTCCTGCTTCAGCCTCCTGAGTGCTGGGTCTACAGGTGTGCACCACCATGCTTGGCTCTCTTTTCTTGTGTTATTGTCACCAGAGGCTTCCTGTTCAGATTCTCAGTTCCCTGCCCCCTGCATCTGAGAGGCTGGTGCCTGGGTTCCAAGTTTGTTACGCAGATGACCACCAGAAGTTGTTGGATAAAGTGGGCAGTCATCCTCTTCCTTGGTTATCCATTTGACTTGTATTAGAGGCCGCAGGGTACACACAACATTAAGGTGTTTCATTTTCAGAGAGCCTGAAGTTTATTAGGGGAAGTTCTGTGCCTGTGTAAGTCATACATGCAGAAGAACAGATTTAGGACATTGTAGTTCCAAAAGTCAGGCAGCTGTCAGTGGAGTACAGCATTAAAGCCATGTTTGAGAAGAGGTAGTTTTTGAGGCTGCCAGTTGTAGGAATAAAGGAGAAACTACATTTTGTAAAAAGATGTGATTTAAGGGCAGACCAGGAATCAGGAAGAGGTGCAGTGGGAGTGGAATATACAGCAAGTGGGAAGGCAGCTGTGAGTTGTCAGAAGGGCCGTGAGCATCAGGTAAAGCTCCTTTAGGCTTTGGCAAGCCAGTGGTGCTAAAGAATGCCCTCGTCAGAAATGTATTTCAGGAAGGATCATCTGGTAAGTGAAGTAGGGCAGATTAGAGGTAGGAGGGGCTAACTCGATTGCCAGCTGTGATGGAAGTCATGGTCTGTGAGGGGACATTTGCAAGTGGAATCAGTAATGCTTGGGGGCAGAAGCTATAGTGAAGGCTGAAGAAAGAGGTAAAGATCATGTGATGATGCCTGCTTGGTGCCTGAGATGGTGCTGCTATTAGCAGCTAGAATGGCCTGAAGAAGATGCAGATGGTATTAGACGAAGAACTCAGCTTGGGCCTGGTTGAATGTGGAGGGAAGTGGAAACCCTGGGGTGGGAGATTTTCTGGTCATCTACTGAGCATAAGTTCAGACATTTAAGCTGGCAGACATAACCAGTACTAGCATTTGAGAGCACAGCCTACTGCCACAAGAATCTTTGGAGCTTCCTAAAGGTGTTAGAAAAAGAGATTATGACTGGGGCGGAGGAGAGGACATAGGAAGCAAGGCCACCCAGGTGATAGGTGTCTTGTGACCTACAGTGCCACTGGCTTCACCACTCGCTCAGACATTGGGCCTGCCCGGGACGCAAATGATCCTGTGGATGACCGCCATGCACCACCAGGGAAGAGAACCGTGGGAGACCAGATGAAGAAAAACCAGGCTGCTGATGATGACGACGAGGATCTGAACGACACTAACTATGATGAGGTGATGGGGGTCCCTCTGTGGGTACTCCCCCCAGTCCCCAGAAAGGCTTAGATTCACCCAGTGTTTTTTTTAATTTTTATTTTTTTATTTTATTTTTTATTTTTTTGTATTTTTAGGGAAGGGTCTACAGGATGTTCAGGGTCTCACTACTAGATCAAACTCGTCGTGATCCGCTTTTTTTTTTTTTTTAATTTTATTTATTTGTGTGTGTGTGTTTGTGTGTGGCCAGTTCAAGCTCAACCCACCAGGGGGCGCGGCTTACTGGCATGTGGTGCTGGGGGATTGAACCGTGGTCCCTGTGCTTGTTCTAAGTAGGTGCTTTAGACCACTGAGCCATCTCACCAGCCCCAAGGCTTAGATTCAGAGACCATCTTTAACAGTGTGTGAACAGGACAGTAAAACTCTAAAGATATGAGCACTTTTTTTATTCTCAAGAGAGTTGTGGGGCTGGGGAGATGGCTCAGTGGAATAAGCGCTTCCCTGGCAAGCGCAAGGGCCTGAGTTCAATCCCCAGTTCTGCAAAACAAACAAACAAACAAACAAAAAGAGAGTTGCGCTTGCAGCATGACATGCCGCATTGGAGTTTTGTGTTGGCTGGTCTCTAATGATGGTACTGATGTTGTTTCAGTTTTGGTGTTTGCCTGCTTAGTTTATTGATTTAGTTAGACAAGGTTTTCTGTAGATGTCTCCTACAGTTGATGTCTTTCCTCTGAGGAAAAGTAATTTTATTTTTTTGGTACTTGGGATTGAGCTTGAGGCCCTTCGCACTGAATTATGTCCCCAATACCTCCCAACCTTTCCGCTTTGTTTTTGTCTTTTTGAGACAGTCTCACTGTGTAGCTCAGGCTGGCCTCAAACTCATAGCAGTGGGCTGCGGAGATGACCCAGTGGAATAAGCACTTCCCTGGCAAGTGCAAGGACCTGAGTTCAATCCCCGGTTCCACCAAAAAAAAAAAAAAAAAAAAAAAAATTGTATTCAGACTCATAACAGTCCTCCTCCTTCAGTCTTCCAAATGTTGGGATTACAGGCATGTATCACCATTCCCAGCCTTCCCCCCCACCCCCTTTTTGAGACAGGGTTTTACTATGTAGCTTGGGCAGGCCTTGAACTCACTGTGTGGCCCAGGATGCTTGAGCTTGTGGTGATTCTCTTGCCTCAGCCTCCTGAGTGCTGGGATTACAGGTGTGTACCACCATGGCTGGCTATGCCTCTTGTCTTTCATGCCCTTGGCTCTTGAAGAATATTGATCAGTTGTTGAAGAATGGCCTCCAGTTAGGATTTGTCTAATTAAAAACATAATTAGCACATAACTTACAACTGAGTATGTTCTGTTGGTGTTGGTAGGTGCTGTGTTAGAGGGAAAGCTGACCTTTAAATATGTTTTATCAGAGACCAGTGAGATAGGTCAGCTGAATAAGCTCCTGCTTAGGCAGGCGCAGGGATAGGGTTCTATCTCCGGAACTGCATGCCATGCTGGCCCTGCTCTCTGGCTGCTGAGTCCCAGTGTGGTGGCGCATCCCTGTAAAACCAGCACTGGGGAAGCTGAAAATAAGAGGACCACTGTAAGTCTGAGCTGCATAGTGAGACCCTGTACCAAATGCACTAATAAGTAAATAAATAAATGTATTTTGTCTTTAGTTTAATGGTTATGCTGGGAGCCTCTTCTCAAGTGGACCTTATGAGAAAGATGATGAGGAAGCAGATGCTATTTATGCAGCTCTGGATAAAAGAATGGATGAAAGAAGGAAAGAAAGAAGGTAAATTGCTGCTAAGCACATTGTGTTTAACCTAGGGGTTTGTTTGTTCATTTGTTTGTCTTGGTGGGCTGGGCTTTGAAGCCAGAACAATTCCAGTGAACTACTTCGCTAGACCTTTTCATTTCTTTACTCTGAGACAGGGTCTCACTAAGTTACCTGCGTAGGAGTTGAATCTGTGATCTTTGTGCCTCAACCTCTGAAGAGTATTGACTAGGGATGCTGCGCTGTGCTTGTTTTTTGCTTTTTGAGATAATAGAATCTGGGTATGGTAGCACATGCCTGAAATCCCAGTATTCAGGAGGTTGAGGCAAGAGGCTCACCATCAGTTTGAGGCCAGCCTGGGCTACCTAGTGAGTCCTCATCTCAAAAACCAGGTGTGTAGCATATACCTGTGGTTCCAGCACTTGGTAGGCTGAGGCAGGAGTATTGCTGCCAATTTGAGATCAGCTGGGATACACAGTGAAAACTTGTCTCAAACAAGAAGGTATTTAGACCTTTAAAACATTTTATTCTGAAAACTTCTTTAACAACAAATAGAATAGTGCAGTGAAGTACATTCTTATTCTCAACATTGGTTCCTACTGTATTTTTATTCTTTTTTTTGGTGGTACCAAGGATTGAACTTGGGACTTAGTGCTGGCCAGGCGATCACTTATTTCACTGAGCTATCTCCCAGGTCCTGTATATGTGTCTTCTTCATTTATAAGTATTTTCCTGGGTCATTTCCAGAGCACCTATACCCATCTTCCACATGGACTTGGTACCTCATGGACCCCAGTTCTGTTAACCAACAGTTACTCCCCAGAATATTATAGCATGGTTTATGTAAGCCAGGGTCAATCTGGATCACTTCTTAGGTTTAATTTCCTTAGGGTCTTTTAATTTAAGACAGTTCCCCACCTTCTACTTCTTTAACCTTTCATGACATTGATTTTGAAATCAGTTTTTTTTTTTGAGATCAGGTTTTTGTAAGAAAAATTTGAATTTTTCAATGGCTACTTGTTTCCTCAGGGTATCCTTTGAGTTCTAGAGAGAGAGTGTGTGTATGTGTGGTTCTGGAAATTGAACCCAGGGCTACTCTACCACTAAACTGTTTTCCCCAGCCCTCCTTTTTATTTTTAAATTTAGGGTCTTTTTTTTTTTTTTTTTTTTGCGGAACCGGGGATTGAACTCAGGCCCTTGTGCTTGCCAAGGAAGCATTTATTCTACTAAGCCATCTCCCCCCCGCCCTAAATTTTTTATTTTTTGGCTTTTCTGAGACAGTGTCTTGCCATGCAATCCAAGCTGGCCTTGAAATCCATATATAGCCATGACTGGCCTTGAACTCTTGATCTTTTTGCCTCAGCCTTCCCAGTATTGGGATTACAGGAGTGTGTTACCATGCCTGGCTTTATTTTTTATTTTGAGACAGGGTCTCACTAGTTACCCGGGCTTGCTCCAGACTTGTGATTTTGCCTCAGCCATTCGAGTAGCTGGGGTTATAGGGATGGAGCACTGTGTCCAGTATTTGCTCTTATTATTTCCTGTGGAGTAGAGGCTGAACCTGAGACTTGGTAAAAATTGGGTGAAACATCTTTGGTTAGGAAACCTGATAGATTTGGCTGTGTGTTTCTTCACATCAGGAGCCGTAGTGCCAGCGGCTCAGTTCTTGTAGAAATATCGATCTTTCCAAGACACCATTTACATAATACGACCTTCAACTTTTTCTTTTCCTTGTTCTTTTTGATGGTGGGGATTGAACCAAGGACCTTATGAATGATAGATAAGTGCTGTGTCACTAAGCTACATTCCCAGGCCACGGGTAATACATTTAGATTCCTACCTGTGGATGTTTTGTTTGAGTGTAACTTTTCCTGTGGTACCAGGGATTGAACTCAGGACTTTGTGCTTGCCAGGCAAGCACTTATTCCACTGAGCTATCTCCTTGGCCCTAACTTTTTTTTTTTTTT